ATTTTGCTGTTGATATTTACGAGTGATATAAAAATCTAATAAATTTGGCTATATTTTAATACATGTTTATCCTAAATACTTTTTGATGCAATAGTTTAAACTCAAACACATTAACCATATATTAGAAAAATTGGGTCTAGTACATATGTTTTTGATTTGCCTTTTGACACGAATACCAATTCAACTTTCAATATTTAAGATCTATTATCATATACGAGCAAATTAGAATTTCCTATGCTTTCCATTAGCTTCATTGCTTGCTTTATGCTTGCTTTATGTATTTTTAGCTATGCGTTGTTCAGTGAACACTTGCATGTATTGTAGTTTTAATAAGGAAGCAAGTTGCTATACATGATGATAGTTATTTTTTTTTAATTTCAAATAGTTGAGATAAGACTGTTGATGAGTGGTATTATAAATTTGCTGTTGAAATTTAGGTGTGATCTCAGAAATGTAATTAAGTTTGTTTTATTTTAGTACATATAACAATTTTCAGTGTGGAAGGTCTTTTATCATATCAAGGCACATGAAAGCCACCTATGTTTTCTATGGGTGCACTATCTATTGAAATTATTGCATCATCAAATTCTATACCTGTGGCAATGCCACAAATTACTCCAGCATGATCAGAAAATGGGTGAATAATCATTGATGAGGTATAAGATGTACTGATAATATGGCAACAAAAATTATATGAAAATTTTTGAAAGAAAAATGATTAGAGATCAAAGGTACCTTTTTTTGAGGCTGTTTGAAATAATAATTAAAAAAAAAAAACTCTTGAGTCTATGTTTTAAAAATCATGAAAATATAAAGGTCAATTGATATATCTAAGTGAAGTTGTCCTTGGTAGTGACATTGTGTATGGGGAAATAAGAATGTTAAAATGTACGTATGGGATAATTAAGAAGTACATAATGATAAGTGATTGTATTAAAGTGTGAATGAAGTAAACCAATTGATGACTGGTACTGGAAAGTCTTCTTAGGTTGGCTACGTGTGATATAAGATACAAGATGCATTGAAAATATGAAAAATAAAATTTTATGGATGGATGTGAAAGAGAAATGAGTAGGCTAAAGGTACCATGTTTGCAGGTTGCACAAAAACAAAGTCTTAAGGAGTATTATGCGAGAAGATAATATGAAATAAACAGCAAGGTCAATTGTATAAAACTAGAGTCAGAAGTTTTTTTTGTTTAATCGCGAATTGAGTGTAATTCAAATGAGAATGTTAAAATATATTTATGTGATACTTTAAAAGTGCAGGTTGGCTAGTGATCATATTAGAGAATTCACAAAATAATATCCATTGAAGATAGGTAATAGAAAACTGTTCAGGTGGTTTATTTTTGAGAGAGGTTAGATGCATTGATAAGAAGACAAATATGGTTAATATGGAATGATTTGAAAGAAAAAAAATGTAAATCAATAGTAGCTCTTACTTGGAGTTTTTGCGAAACTTATGCAATATAAAAGAAGAATATGTAGAGTAAGAGTTTGTAAAGTCCACACCAATAGTTTGGATACGGGTACTTATGATGATGCAAAGAATTTCTCATATAGCTAACCTAAAAATTATAAATTCAGTTAAGCTAGTGCGAATAATCCTTTTCATGGATGTTGTGGGTTCATGGTTATGCACCAAAACTCTTAAACCATTATCACTAACAAACTAGTTCAAAAAGCTCCATCTGAATTGGATTGCTTTGAAAAATGTCTTGATTTATTGCACAGAAGTCAGCTTCCTCTGCACATGTGAGCTGGCCTCTTGGTTTCTTTTGAATATCAATTATGTTCACCATTGTTACTAACCGATATTCTATTTCAGTACCAGCTTAAAGACCCTAGGCTGCTAAGACCTGATGTCCCACTTCACAATGCCGCTATGAATGCATATGATATGTTCAATCTCTTGACATCGACTGCATGATAGGGGTGGTGTGGGCCATACCTATCCTAATTTTTCTGTTTTCTACTCAATTGAGAAAGATGGGTCTTGTCTGGCTAATATAAACTTGTAATACACGCCATATCTCCCATATACACTCTCATTATATTAAACATGAGCAAAAGATTGGGAAAAAGGATGAACCAGTATTTGAATTTAAGCATTTACGCTCTATATTGGAACTCTAATGTGTAACTTTATATTTATCTTTTGATAAGCTGTCTACAGCTATGAATACTTTGTTACCATCTTTTTTATTTCGTTTGAAAATATATTAGAAGCTATTGGAATTCAATCAGTTGCAGGTTACCAAAATGGACATTAAAAGTAATAATGCAATATTTGACATCTCGTGGTTGGTGAGCTTGCGGTCATAGTGTCCTGCCTATTGTGTTGGAAAGATAACATTTTGATGGCAAATGTTGAGGCTTTTCTCATGTCTTATCGTGATGCATGATCACTTTTGTCTGCTTAAAGGTGTTCGCTGGTTGTTTATAATAGATGTGTATTTATTTCCTGTGTTAAATGATGGTTCAAACATGTTCAAACATATAGTGATGTTTTTAATACTTTCTGTAGAAACTTCTATCACATTAGAAGTGCACAGAACGGTATTCTGATTTTTGTATTTTTCCTTTTTCCCCCTATTATTTTCTTTTTTTTCTGGCGGAAAAACTTTGAAAAAACTTGCTCATGTACTTGATACTTTTGGTGCTGGACTTGAATGAAGGCCATTGATTTAAGTTGATCCAAGTCTATTTCAGAACCATGTCTCAAATTCCAAGTTTTTGTCTTCTTAATTCTTTTATTCAGATAACATCTCTTTTTCACCAGTTAAACATCACACAGTTGAATGTGAGAAAAGAATAGCTTTACATTGTATCACATTCCTGTGACCTCTAAATATTGATATTCTTTTGTCGTGTAACAACAACAACAACAACAACAATAACAACAAACCTTTACACCACTAAGTGTGGTTGGCTATATGAACATTTTTTCTTCATTATGTCCTATTGAGTGCCATATTTTCATTTAATTCTAGTAGATTAAGATCATTTTTTATAAAACATGCCCAAGTCCTTTTAGGTCCGTCTCTACCTTTTTTAACATAAGTCAAATCTTAAACATCTACTCTCCTAACAGGATTATTAGATGGTTGACGTTTAATTTGACCAACAACTCTCTAATATTGTTTTTCACTGGAGCTACACCACCCTTATCACATAAATATTCGATAAGTGTAAAGCCACTCATCTACATTAGCACTCTCATCTCAGCAACACTAACTTAGTTTTATGCTTCTCTTTTATAGGCCAACATTTTGCATCATAAAGTATTACTAGTCTCACCACCATCTTATTAAATTTTTCTTTAAATCTAAGTGGTATTTTTCTATCACATAATAGACCCGATGCATTTGTTCAGTTCAACCATCCAACTTGAATTCTACTATTAACTTCCCCATCTTTATCGCTATCTTTTTGAATAATAGACCAGAGATATCTAAAATGTTCACTCCTTTTGATTTAATACTAAAATTACATTCCATGTATTCAGTTTTAGATCTATTAAAAAAAAAACCTTTAGACTCTAAAGATGACATCCATAATTTAGGTTTTTCCTGAACACTTTCTCAAGTCTTATCCACAGGAAAAATATTATCAGCGAAAAGCATACAAGGTACATCCTCTTGTAAATGTCAAATAAGAACATCCATGACTAAAGCAAAAAGATATGGGCTTAAAGCCGATCACTGATGTATTCCAGCTGAAATAGGAAAATACTTGGTAAATCCTTCTTTTATTCGAATACAAATAAGAACTCTAGTATGCATATCTTTAATGACTTGAATATAAAGTAATTTTCTTAGTACCTTTATACAAGCTTTTTTCTAAATCAACAAAAATCATATGTAGAGTGTCCTTACTCTCTCACTTCTCCTTCAAACTTCTCAATAAATGCATAACTTTCATACTAAACTTGTCGGACATAAAACCAAATTGGTTTTGAGGAATCGTTGTATTACGTCTTAACTTGTGCTCAACTACTCTCTCCCATAATTTTAATGTATGACACATTAAATTAATTCCTCTATAATTTGCACACTTTTGTGCATCCCTTTTATCCTTAAAAATCGGAACAAAATACTCTTCCTCCACTACTTAGTAATTTTTTTAGTGTTTAAAATAGTATTAAAAAGTTTAGTAAGCCAAAAAATTTTCAAATCCCCTATATATTTCTACACTTATATTGGGACCATCAGGTCCTCTACTGATTTCCACCCTTCATTTTTTTTAAAGCATCCTCAACTTCCATTTTACTAATACGATGGTAAAAATAAAAAAAAATTATTATTATTAACTATATGAAGATCACTAAAGTCAATCATTTTTTCAAAATTTTCATTAAAACTTTTATCAAAATATCTCACCCACCTTTGTTGAATTTTCTCATATAATAAAAGCACATTTTGATTTTCATTCTTAGTTCACTTTACTCGAACTAATTTTTTTTCTTATCTTTTTATTAGGCTAGATTATATCTATATCCTTCACCATCTTTGATATCTAATCTATTATAAAGATCATTAAAAACATAAGTTCTATCATCACAATTTGTTATCTTATACTCCCTATAGGTCATCTTATATTTTTCCCAATTCTCTAAGATTTTTCATTTAAACCAAGTTTTATAACAAAATTCATTATATTTTATCTTTTCTTGTATATTTTTTTTCCAATTCTTTTGTCGTGTTAGCTGAAAAAGAAAAAGACTGTCTTTTAGGATTGGGTTGTCTCACTAGATTTACCTGTTTGATTGCTATTATTTTCATATTCCTATCTTTTTACAGACCATGATTAACATGATAAAACAATGCTTAGAATGAAAACTTCTGTGCATGGTGCCTGCATACATTTTATTTTTCAGTATGTGAAGCTTCCTTCTATCAAATGTACTTTGATTTGTGTTGCTGATTTGTTTTTTGAGTGAAGTTGTATTTGCTTTAAGTCTTGATTTTATGCACATGTATTATTTCTTGATTGCAGTGTGAGGATTCACGGTGCCGTGTTTGGCAACATATTGGCTGTGTTCTTATACCAGAGAAACCTTTGGATGGCATCATGCCTGAAATCCCTTCATCCTTCTATTGCGAGATATGTCGGCTCAATAGGGCAGATCCGTATGTCTCATTCACTTTTCTACTGGTCTTAATTATTCTGTGCTGCTACCGTATTTGTGTAGTAATTTTATTTTAATTATGATGCACTTTCCTGGCCATATTTATAAGGCATGTGTTGTTCCTCAGAATCATTTAAGATGCTTTAGTATTTATCAATCTGTTTAATGCAGGCTTCTTGCTCTTTTAGTTTGTTCACTTTTTTATCAAAACTTTTATAGAAACTAGGCAGCTTATTAAATTATTACTCTTTGCCTTTTAGGTCTTCATAAATTGAATTTAAGGTTTGATTTTCTTCATAGATGCTGCTATACACTGGAATGTAATAAGTATAAAATAATCGGAGTGCATTAAATTCAAGTATCAGGCAATATGTTTGTTAGGATTTCTGCAACACTAGCCAATCTGGGAATTGTTAAGAGGTATGGAAAATAAATATGGTCATGCCTGAAAATGCATTCTTTCACTATGAAACATGGGCAATGTGCTTATAATATCCTGGAGCGATGCTCCTAAAACTAGAATTTGAAACCAACCTAGTCGACGGACTAGTGATTGGCTCGTTCATGAGAATCAGATTGATGCCAGTTTCAAGATCTTTATTGGATCATATAAAAAGGACAATAACCATGTCGGCATTTTCACATTAAATAATTTGTGCTTGTTTCATCCATTACTTAAATAGTAATTCAAACACTTTTTAAAGCATTGTGGTGCGAGAGCAATGCCAGATATAGCAAATCTACTTGCACATTGCCATAACCAAGGTGCAATAGGTCTAAGAGTTTATTGCGGCCATTAGCATTTGTGGTAATGGCTGGCCTTGAATTTTTTTTTCTCTGAAGTTAATAAGCCGTAGTTTTTTATTGTCCCCTTTTAGGTGTAAAATTACAACAAATAAGCAAATTTTGTGGCCTACCTTTAATCATCTCACTGGCCAAGATTTGTTGTCGCATGAACAACTCTTGCTCAAAAGTGCTAGGCATGAGTGAAAGTGGCTTAGGGACAAGGCATGACAACTCGATTATGTACTGATAAACTTGTATTGCCTTGAAAATGGTGCTCTTGAACATGCATGCTTTATTTGTATGATATTTTATTGTCGTGGAATGATGCCTTTATAACATGGGATTCATTTGATTGATGTCACCTTGTAGTGTTTAGGTTTGTATCCCTTGGATTGCACCTAAGCCTTTCGTTGCCATTTGGTTCATTTAATTTAGGCTGTTTTTAGTGCGTGGTTTTTTTGGCATGCTTTGATGTATTTGAAATTGTATTTCTTTGGTTGCACAGATTACTTTAAGTCAATCGATTTACACCCTTGTTCTTATCACACAATCAGTTATTTTGTGACTGGATAACTTCTTGATGATTTGGCATTGGTATTGTGTAGGTTTTGGTTAACAGTCACTCATCCTCTCCTTCCCGTCAAGCTAGTTTCTCCTGCACCTGATGGGTACGTTATTTATAAGGAATCAACTCCCTCAATATTTACGTAGCTTTATCTGATGCATCTCCTTTGATGTATGTATGTATGTGTGTGTGTGTGTGTGTGTGTGTATTCTAGGGCTTTTTAATGTTTGACCTGCTGACAGGTTTTTCAAAATTTCCATGTTAACCCTAGTCCAAAAAAGTTGCACGCTGCATTCCACACACTTAGCATGTCATTTACAGCACATAAAGTCTGAATTTTTTAAAGGATCGTTTGTCATTTTTATCAATATTATGTTTGCTCTAGCTATTTGGAGTTTCCTTTATGGAGTTTTCTTTTCCATTCATATCTATCAAGTTTGAGTTGGGCGTCAACTCTATTTGCCCTGGTCTTTTCTTGCAATTTCAAAGTATATTGCCTTTTATCTACATTTTTTTTACTGACAAAAGGCCAGATGATTAATGCTTTGTGTACGTCTTTTGCTATTTGAATATTCAGGTGAGAAGCTGTTGAAAAAATTGCAGTGAAATGTTTAACACTAAAGAGATTTCTTGTCTGATTGTAGCACTTTGTGTTCTATAAAATATCAAATGACTGAACTTTCCATAATTAATATACTAAGCGATACATTCCTTGATTAAGAAAAAAATCGACAATTAGTATTGACCACAAATATTCCATGTAAACGAAATAAACATATTAAATATCATTAACCACTAGTCATCATTTTTGAGGTGGTTTCAGAGATGAAGGATAGGCACAGAAAGAGTCATGCATTCCATACCTAACTCACTTTTCACGCTTTACATGCTCAACAGTAAAATGAAAAAAAAAAAAAACGAAAAAGAAAAATCCGAAAAAGAAAAATCAGACAGAGACAGTAGCTTAACTTTCCACCACACTAAAGTGAAATCTGATACCAGTCTCAAGTCAGTTGTTAGTGAACATCAACGATCAGCTTGTTGGAAAGTTTTTCAACTTTTTGAAGGGCTAGATGTAACACCCACCTCTTCGTTGTATTGGAAGCCTATAGCAGCTCCTCCAGCTGAGACAGCGGCCCTCACGGTTGTATTTAGAGTTGTTGTCTAGTGTTTCATGTATGAATTACTACTATATAATTATAATGAATTATGCAGATAGTTACTTGTTGGGCTTTTTTTTCGAGGAAGAGCTTTGAGGTTCCTGAAAAGACAATTGAGTGAAACTAAATTCTTTATTATATTTTGCTTGAGTTTTCTTACGAAAATTTAAATAATAATGATTTTTTCTATCCAAAGAGATATGGCCACTAATATGCAGAGGCTATAAGGTAGTTTTCCCCCTCAAATTTATTGAAGGCTTGGAGTAAGAGATGAAGCGTTACTAAAAAGTAACTTACAACTTCTCATTTGGGAAACCCCCTATTCCTGATCATATTGCACAAAAGAAGATGTTCTTTCTTTTTTTTTGCATTCTTTTAATAATCAATTTGGTTTGGGTTTGGGTTTGGTTAGGAGGAAAAAAGGTGGGCGGGGACTAAAAGTGAGGCATGTGTGCTTATTTTAATTTTACGCTCAATCTTATTCATAGGCCTTAGTTCACTAGGTATTGCTATTTCTGGATTACAATTCACGGGTAATTTATTTAGAATTTTTTACTCAAAATGTGTATGATATATTAAGGATCTGTTTGTGGCAACTGCAGTTTCTCAGCTTTTCAGCTGCAGCTACGCTGCCCCAGGAAGCTGCTGCAGGGAATCTGACTGACTGTTTGTTGCAACTGTGTGAAAACAACTGTGAGGCAGCTATTTCTGAAAAAATGACCATCATGCTCCTGTGTAGTATTTTTGTATATAATAAAAAATAAAATAATTTTTAATATTAAACAAATAATTTTTTGAAGCAATAAATTAACATTAATTAAAAATTAATTCATTTTTTTTTAATTTACAAAACTTTTATGTTTATCAAATAATTTAAAATTTAAAATTATGTTTGTAAAATAACTAATTAATCATTAAATAATAATATATAATTTAATCTAATTATGATTTATTTGAAAATATATGAAATAATCATTTTAATAAATTAAATTGAATGTGTTTGCATATCTAACACCTAAATTTTTTTTTTGTTTTTTTTACATTTAAACCACTAAAAGCTTTCATATCACATAAAAAAATACCACCATGTTATTTTTAAATGTTAAACAAACCTTATCATGTTTAGTTAAGGTGGTATCTATGTGAAAAATGAATTTTGGTGTTAGAAATGTATATGTATGGGACTGAGTGGTATGTCCGCACATCTTCCTTAACTCCCTCTATTTACTCACATTTAACTCAGATAGCTTCAGAATTTCAGACAATTATTGACTTCTGATTGCTTCAGCAGAGAACACATATGGTCCCTAGATGGGTGATTGTGACAGTTATTGAAATTAAAACAAAAGGTTCAGTGATTATAAATGAAGTAATACATTGACCTATCCATCCAATATTTCCTACCAATTTATCATCCTTCAACCCTTGATCATCCTTTTTAGTTCTTTAGGCCAAACATTGTTGAAGCCATACCTGTCCATCTGACTTAATGCCTAAAGTAGGAAGCTGGGAACTTGGTTCTAATCTGTTGAGCGAGCTCTTAACATTGAATTGTTACATATAATCTAATCATCACCAATCTCCAAACACAGAAAAGGAAGGTAAAGAATTGTATCCACAGTAGCGAAATATCTAACAGAGAAAGCACGTCATGCAAATAGCAGAAATCATAAATTAAATTAACCCACTGTTGACCTCATTTTTGTGAGGTCTTTTCTTCTCCTCCTTAGAGCCTAGGTTCTAGCTCTAGAAATTCCTATGGACCGTCTTAGAAAACTAGAATTGAGACTCACCCTTCTAGAAATTCCAGCCAATTCCTATTCCTTTGATGTCTAGCATCTTGGCACAAGACCATCGTCTTATGAACGAGCGGTTATGGGCTATGTTGCGTAGATTCAAGGAAAATGTTCCAAATAGGACTTCAAGCCTTAGGAAGACATCGTCACGACCTTTTTTGTCACGTACACACACAAAGTACACGAAGTTCACGAAATTGCGCAAAATCGTACTTCAATTAAGCCCAAAGAACGGGTGAAAATGCGAACTTCTCCGGATGACCTCCGACGACAAATTGGACTGCGCCAACGCGTCCGGGATACCAATTTTGGTAGGAAAGGACACCCATATTGCCATACTTTCGACACGAGAAAATTG